GGACCAAGAAAAACATACGCACATGCGCAGGAAAGGTCAGAGAAACACGTGCTCTACCTGCCGGCTCCCAGGCAGGGGTGGACGTGGGCGGGCCCACTGGGGACGAGATCTCCCATTCCTGGACCGGGAGCACAGGGAAAGGGGAGCACCCACCTTCTTGTCCCAGCCACAGATCATGCTGCCCACGGACAGGCCCAGGCCCCGGTAATGGGACACCATGTTGGCTAGCAGCTTGGAGGCCGCCGACACGGAGATCCTCTCCCCATTCCGAAGGTAGTGCAGCCTGGGTGACAGGAGGAAGACAAGGGCGGCTGGAGGGGGTTAGCTCTGCCCCCTGCTGAGCAGGAAATGACTGGAGAGATCCGCATTTGAAGGGATTGTTTTGTAGAGACAAGGGCGTGGAGGGGGTTAGCTCTGCCCCCTGCTGAGCAGGAAATGACTGGAGAGATCCGCATTTGAAGGGATTGTTTTGTAGAACCTGAGGAGCAGGGAAGGATTTGGAATTTGAAGCATCTAAAACACACGAAGAAAGCCCAGTGAGTGGGGCTATGCCACCAGCAGGGCGGCGTCACCTGAAAAAGTACCTGTCTTAAGGGCAGGAACACAGACTGAGTAGGGAGAGGGTTTTTATTACCCAAAGGCTGTTTGGTGAATTACCCTGTTAGCACTAAGACGGACCCACAGGGCACACAGGTGAGGGACAGGGACGAGAGCGAGCCCGGCTTCACCAGAGGGCTGAGAAAGGGCCACGAGACCTCGCCCACCTGCACTCTTTGGCCAGCAGACGCTCCCAGTACTGGCAGTCGGCCGCGCAGCCGGACATGGTGCCCAGCGGGTAAGGGTTGATCTCGATCACCTTGTTCACCCGTATGGTATCTGGAAGAAGAGTTTGGGGACAGGAGCAATGACCCCGCAGGCCCTGGGTGCCCTAAGTGCACACCTGCCTGGGCTTGGGTGCAGACGTGGATAACCTGGGGACGCCCCACACACCCTCACCGATGTAACTCCCCGCTGTGGCCCGAGAGTCCACGGCCACCATCACTCCGTGCTGGAACCTGAAGGCCAGCGTGGTCGTGCCGTGCGCCATCTCAATCCGAACGTTCCCTTCTCCGCCCCCACCCAGGGACCGTAAGAATTCAGTGGGCTGCAGGGAGAAGGGGCCGGAGGGGACAGTGAGGCTTCGGGGGCAGGAGCTCCTGCAGCAAAGGGTTTTAGAGAATTCGCAGGCCAGGAGCTCTGTGAAAGCTCTCTAACCACCCACGAACGGAAATTCCTAACCAACTCTAGGAGGAACTGTGCTCTGGAGAAGGAAAAGAAGAGGCGCAGGGCACCGGCTTCTCCCACCTCTAGTGCAACGGCAGTGAAAGAGATCAAACGTTACCACGGCTAAAAATTTCTAACTGGCTTTAAGAGTTTTGCTTTTTTCACTCGTAAGTCATCCAACCCTCACAAAACACATCCTAATTCACCTAGACTCGTTTTGCCGAAGAGGGGCTGGAGACCAGTGCGGCGCGGTGACTCCTGGGTCACACCGCTCCCAGGGACCCCGCCAAAGGGCTCTCCCGCCCTCACGAGGTGAGGCCACCGGCTTCCTGAGACGACCGGGCGGCGACACACGGGAAGCC